AAGAGGTTTTTTTACAAATCATTGGTTTTGATTATAATGAAACGTATGCTCCAGTAGCAAAACTAACAACTCTTCGCATTTTATTGTCAGTGCGTTGCAGAAAAACATGTTTAACAAATGGACGTAAAAAGTGCTTTCTTGAATGGGAAACTTTTAGAAGAAATTTACATGGATTTGCCTAAAGGATTTAAGAGCGAAGAAAAGTCTGCAAATTAAACAAATCGTCATACGGTTTGAAACAATCAGCACGAGCTTGGAACGAACGAGTTAACCAATTCATGATGAAATTAAAACGTTGTATATCTGATTATTGTCTTTATATATGCGAAAATAATGAGACTATCTGCTAAATTTTATTATACGCTGATGATTTGTTGATTGTTTCCACAGATCAGCTGAAGATCAATGTTATAAAGAATTTGCTGCAAAAAGAATTTAAAATGACAGATATTGGAAATGTTGATACTTTTCTTGGAATACATATCGAGCGCAACATTGGAAAAGGTACAATAATTATAAGTCAGTCTCATTACCTGCAAAAAGTTTTGATGAAATTTGGCATGGACAATTGCAAAATTGTTGCAACTCCAATGGAAACCGGATTGAATTTAGAAAAAGGAGATGTGAGTAAATTACCAAATATTCCTTATCGAGAATTAATTGGATGTTTGACTTACGCTCACAACAAGACCAGATTTGTGTGCTGCTGTAAATTACTTCAGACGCTTTCAAAGTTGCTATACAACTGAAAACTTTACAGATGCAAAAAGAATATTGCGATATCTTAAAAGGAACTTTGAATATGAAAATGTTTTTCAATCGCAGTTCAACAAATGAAAAACTAACAGGTTACACTGATGCTGATTGGGAAGGCGACAAAAATGATCAAAAATCAATATCAGGATATGTATTTAAATTATTTGATAACACTATCAGTTGGGCCTCAAGAAAGCAACCCACGGTAAGCTTGTCTTCTACAGAGGCTGAATATATTGCGCTTGGACATGGTATTTGTGAAGCAAAATGGTTAAAAAGTCTACTAAAAAGGGGTGAACGATCTGATGAACCGATCATTATACACGAAGACAACCAATCATGCATTAAAGTGACAGAGGAGCCACGAGAACATAAACGAATGAAGACGTTAAATATAACTTCATCCGAGAAGCTATTGCGAGCAGCGAAATCAAGCTTAAATACAAGGCGACTGCGGATCAGCTAGCTGACATTATGACAAAAAGCATCAGTCGTGTACTATTTGAAAAACTTGAACTTGATGTTGTAATAGTCATAGGTATATTTTCAATTTTATTTTAAAGATAAATGTGATGCGATTATTTTTATTTTGGTTTTTCATTTGAATTAAGAGGCCCTATTGGAATATAATTATAATATTCTTATTGATTGATGTATATGTATTAGTTATTTATGTATTAAGGGCATAATAAGGTTTTTATGGTCCGAGGCGCTATTTCGAGCCCGAGCGCGTTAGCGCGAGGGATAGAAAAGCGTCGTAGGACCATAAAAACCAGTTATGCCAGCAATGCATACAAAACTTTATGCACGATTAATATATTATTATTTTTAATATAATATTATTATTGTTTTTAAAGACGTTTACGTCAAAGAATTTTTGTTATAATTATATTATAATGTCAATTGACATCAGTCAGTTTTAAAGTTTAAATATGAATGAAATTGAGGAAGCAGCTGAAAAGGCAAAAATTGCGGCCTGCTGCCGGAAAAATCAAAATCTTTATACGAAAAAACTTACTTCGAATATATCAAATGGTGTAACATTGTTGTTTTTAATTTTTGACGTTTCATTATAGCCCGCTGGGCCATAATAACGCCCGCGGGCTATAAAAAGACGTTTACGTCAAAGAATTTTTGTTATAATTGTCATATTATAATGTCATCGTGCATAAAAGTTGTTTATAACTTTAGATTAAAACATTTACTAGCTTGTTACTTAAAGTTGTAATATCGTCTGTCAAATAAATTTGTCAAATAATCTTACAGAAAATATTGCTCGTGTTACTTTTATTTCTCAGTTCTGGTTTTACAAATAAATTTATTATAGATTCATTAAGTTGCGCACGTGCTTAACGTCTTAAAAAGGAACAGTATGGAAAATCATGTCTTCTTAGGCTGTATTGATAAAACCACAATGATGACAAAGATAACAGATTATTTGCCGTCTTAGCATTGATTCTTACTCAAAGTCTTAGCAAATAGCTTTATTTAGATACATCGTTGGGCACGCCTCTGCCTCTGAATGTACTGGTACTGTTGGAACTGCTGCGACATACGTCTCCTACTTGATTCATGCGAATATGATCGTTGACGCAATGGACTTTTCTCGTGATTTGGACTTTAGTTTGCTGAGCACTATGTGACGGTTTTGTTGCTGAGCCTCTGTTTACCCATGTTGACGTCGACTATGTGTTCTTATCAGCAATCCTCTTTATGACACGTAGCAGCTCTAACAAATTAAAGTCTGTAGGTTGGAATTTTTAAATGTATCAATCACATATTTGATCATCTCTTCATCTTCTATACCAGCCCTATTTCCTAATAGGACCTTAAGAAAATAATCAAAAATCATCGTGTGTTAAAGTTTTTTTGTTTTTTTATGTATCCCCTGAGAAAACCGGGGTGGAAACTTTCCATTGGCTAACACTGTATATTATTATACTTTAAGCCAGTCACTGGCTTAAAGTTTAAGCTATATGAACACTTAAGCTTAAAACTTATTTGTTGCAGAAATTAAATTTACAAGCTATTTTAAAATTGGAATATATAGCGAAATGTGAACAGTGTAAATCCATAATTAACACTATACATTTTAAAGATGGAAAAGACAAAAAAATGGAATTAATAAAACTATTTGTACTAAAAATTGACCAGGAGGAAAAAATTCATTTGGAAAATTTAAAATATTTGCAACAAATTAAATTTGTAAGTAATATTTTAATTTAATTACTTAAAAACTGTTTTTTTGAATACTAAATATTTAAAAAGTTAAATAAACTTTTCGGTCAAAAATAGGTATGACAAAAGTTATTTCCTCCAAAATTATTATAGTTTTGTGCACTTTTTAGAATTCAAGGGGAAAATCCTAGGTAGAATGTTTTGGTAGCACACATTTGTTTGTCCATTTGTTTTTGTGGAAAATATACTAGGTTTGTCTGTGTAAAGATGCGTACTGAAAAGCATTTTTATCTGAACCAAACAAACAAGCCGAGTGCCTACAGAACCGCATCTGGTACTGAACCAAACGCACCAAACAGTATCGGTATCTAGCCGATTTTCTTAAAGGGATATATGTGAAGACTTACATTGTACTAGCACTACCAATAACGCGAAAGGTTCCTACAAAATGTTTGTTCGGTTCAATTGTGCATGCTGGGTTCGTTCGGAGATGAATGGTCAAGTCAATACAAAATTTGTTATAGTTATAGTCATCGTCTTTTGGAGAACCGAGTATAACAGGGTTTTACACAAACCTACAAGGGTGGTTTGATAAGTCCGTGAGTTTTTGAACAAAAAAAAAATTTTTTCGCCAAATAAACGTTTTATTTCTCAAAATACCCAGCAAACAGACAGACGTCGAGTGACGTCTTCTGAACGTCGATTATTAGTCATTTTGTCATCAAGTACCAAAATAAGAAATACCGGATATTTAATTAGCAAAATAAGACGAATCAAGGACGTCATTGTTATGACCATTGATTTACCAGACATTTCATTTACAAAATAAGGCATATTACCTAAATAGGGCGAATACTAACTATTAAAAAAAAATAATCGCATATTTAACTTCATATGAAGTTATCAAAGCAGCAGCAAAAAAAACAAAAAATAATCAAACGACAAAATTAATTTATTCATAACTAATTAGCGACAAATTAATGGCAAAATATGCTCTTAATCACTTCTTGATTGGCGATGGATGCTTTGTTAACTTCATATCATATTCCTTTTCTTGGAGGTAAAATAACGTTTTTTGTAAAATTAACAATTTTAGGAATTCTTGCAAGTTTACAAATATGACAATCACATTAAAAATGGGCATTAGATCTTGTAATTTTCTTGAGGGGTCGCAATTCAGATTGGCAGATTTATGTTTTTTCGCATCCCATTTTTTACGCGAGAACATAATTTTGCTTTATTATATATTCATTCTAGATTTAGTTAGCCTTGTGTAAACTAGTCTCGTAAGCTTGTTATTTATAATTTTTAAATTAAATTTAAAAATAAATTTTTTTAAAAAGTTATTTAACAAATCAAGTTATTTAATTGGCGAAGTCGGTAGGATAAACGGGACGTTTTTCTGTGAAAATTTCTGGAACTTTTCGAAATTTTAGTGAAAACAGTATATATCAATATCCAACTCGTTTTGAACTTTTAAAAATTAAGAACATTCAGTGACACGACGAGAAGCAGAGGACAAAATCGCTGAAACTTCGATAACCTAGTTTAAGAGGGAAGCAGAGGACCGAACCTACCTTCAAACATAACTAATAAAATAGAACCACTGTATAATTTTAAAAGTTACCCACTTGAACTTAAATATCGATTGCAACATGCTTGGCAACCTCTTTATCATGGACCTTTTCAAGTAACAGAAATTAAATCACCAAATATTATAATTAATGTAAATAATAAATTAATGGAAGTACATAAGAATAGAATTAAGCCAATTTTAAATGAAAAAAAAATGTTTTCTTTTTTTTCCTTTTCGCCCCGAGGGAGGTGCAATGTAATCATATTTAAGGTTGTTAAGCCCGATTATTAAGTTAATCGATTTCCTGCTAAATATTAGCTATCAGCAATATTATCCAACTTTATGCTGTAAAATATATTAATTGTATAAAAATAAGGTAGTCATCAATTGTAGACATACACGAGTCTTTGACCAATAAAGACACCTACGAAAGGAAAAGTTATTTTATTTCATCTATTATATAAAAAGGGCGATAAGTTATCAATTCGGTATGCGTATACAAGATTACCGTAGTTTGTTACAAACTAAATTTACTATAGACGACGAAAACGAACGCACATGCAAAAATGCTATTTACGACAATCTTGCTTTACAAACTTATTTACACGGCCTACCCGGACACTTAGGTATGTCCATTCGCCTCCAAAAACCAGAACACTTGGAAAAAGCCATGAGCTTGGTTTTGGAAGAGGAATATTTTAATTACGCCGACAAACACTACAGAAAAAATTCTAATCCAAACGCACACAAAAATAATTCAAAACCTCAATTTAACCCTCAGAACCGAGAATACCCGATGCAACACATAATACACCATTTAGACCTACTTTCCATACACAAAATAATTTTCAAAATTACCCCAAACAACAATTTTTTGAACCTCAACAAGACCCAATAATCAATTTATCAGACCCCAACAAAACTATCTTAATCCTCTAAACTATTTTCAACAGAACAAAAATTCACAACAAAATCGCTTTTCAAATAGAAACTCCTTCCAAAATAAATTTACACAAAATGTTTTTGCACCCAATCCAAATTTTAGGCCGACTTATAAGCCGACACCAATGGAAACTTCCACTCGAAACATGAGCCGTATTAGAAACAATTTACACCACTACGAAATCCAAGACAATATTTCATCCAACGATTTTTACCCTAATTTTGAGCAAAATAACGAACAAAACTACTCTAATGACGACTCAAATAATATTTAAGAAGCAGCAGGCTATGCCTATGCCGATTCAACCCATTACGACACTACAGTAACTAAAGAAATACCGGTAGAAGAAAATTTTCAGTTGGACCTGAATTTAACCAATCAACCCTAATAATAAATTTTGAAAAAAAACCCTAAATTGCCATATAACGGGTTCAATGAGATCTTTTATTAATCATAATGTAGTAAAACGATTTAATTCCAAATGTATTCAATACGAACGTTTTTAAATTCAGTCTGTTCATCAAGTAAGTTATCATGATACTGTAGTAAATATACCATTACCTAGAATTTTTAATGTCAACAACTTTACGTATTCGACGTCAATCCACAGTGCGATGGTTTAATGGGCTTGGATTTACTTAAAGAACTAAAAGCAACTTTAGATTTTAATATAAATTTACTTATAACATCAAATACAACGATTCCACTTATTTTGGCTGGTAATAAAGATCCAATAATCGCTCAAACAAACTGTTTTAAAAACTTAAAGCATGTACCAACCTTGCGCATTTAGAATTTAAAAGAATGCCATTTGGACTTAAGAGCGCTCCGGCGACATTTCAACGCGTTATGGATAATATCCTTAGAGGTATACAGAATGAAAAATGTTTTGTGTACCTGGAAGATATTATTATATTCTCCACGTCACTACAAGAACACACAGAACGTTTACGCGAAGTATTCGAACGTTTAAGAAATGCGAACCTTAAATTACAACTAAATAAGTGCGAATTCCTTCAAAAGGAAGTGAATGATCTAGATCATGTCATTACACCTAAAGGTGTAAAACCCAACCCCGATTAAGTAAAAGCAGTTTTAGACTGCCCTGTATCTAAAACTCGCAAAGAAATCAAAGGATTTTTAGGACTTGTTGGTTATTGCCGCAAGTTTATACGCGATTTTGCCAAATTAACAAAACCAATGACAATGTGCCTTAAAGAGAACGCCAAAATTGAACATTCTGATGAGTTTCTTAAGGCATTTGACAAATGCAAGCACCTTTTGACTAACGACCCTATTCTACAATACCCGGATTATGAAAAACAATTCAATGTGGCACTAGAAGCAGTCCTATCACAAGGACAAATAGGGAGTGATAGACCAACTAGTTACGCATCAAGAACCCTTAAAGAAACCGAGCAACGATACTCGACCATCGAGAAAGAACTACTAGCAATAGTATGGGATGTAAAATATTTCAGACCATATTTATTTGGACGAAAATTTTATATCTACACCGATCATAGACCCCTTTTTGGCTTATGAAATTAAAAGAACCCAACTTGAAACTCGTTGGAGGTTAAAATTAGAGGAGTTTGATTATGAAATAATTTACAAAAAGGGCAAACATAACACCAATGCATCTGCTCTATCGAGGATACAAATAAACGTACTAACTAGACAGCAAAAACGAGTAAATGAAGTCCCAACTTAGATGAGTTAGAAAACTTGTTAAGTGACTTAGATGCATCTAGAGAATTAAATACACCCCCACCGTAACAAGTAGAACAAAATCTTAGACCTCCACCTGCTACAGCCGAACTAACAGAGACTTTAGAAGAAATATTTGAACCAATACAACAAAATCAAAACGAAGATACCCTATCTGACAGTATTCACTTCAACGAAAATGTCGAACCAAGAAATGGTATTCCTATTTCTGATGATGCCATTGAATCGAAGCCCAACCAATATTTTATTACACCTGTCTCGATGAATCCAAGAAAAGTCAAACACATTAAAATTGGAAAACAAAACAAATTTTTTGTTCAAATTTCTCGAAATAACAACAAACAAGAAATAATAGAATTTCTTAAAAACTACACTGCTAGTAATAAAACGTATTTCTTTAACTTTGACACCGAAAAACTTTATAAAGACTTTAGTGCATACCGTACCTTCATTTGCAAGCTAACCATAGGGAAAATACATTGTAACTGGACCAGATAAGTCGCAGTCAACACAAAGCGAGAACCTTTTCAGAAATGATTTGGATGCGTCGTGGAGACATGCGTACTAAAACAGATTTACACCGCACAAAATAAAAAACAATAATACAGCATCGATGTATGAAGCAAGGTCAACTGTTACGGCGCATGCTAGCGTACTCGTCCACGCCTCCAAATCATTTCTACAACGTTTTTCGTTTCGTGCTGACTAAGACTTATCTGGTCCAGTTACAATGTATTTTCCCTATGGTTAGCTTGTAAATGAAGGTACGGTATATTAAAATATTTAATGATAATGCCCCAAAAATTATAAGTTGTCCTAAACATAGAACTCCAGTGATTGATAATGAAGAAATCGAAAACGTAATTGATAACTACCACAAAGGAAAAACCAACCATAAAAACGCTACACAAAATTATTCGAAACTTGACCAACGTGGCAAAACCATACAAAGATACGAGGGTCCATTAGGAATAATTAGTATTAATTACAAAAATGTTGCTACATGTTCTAAAGGTCAAAAAATTAAAAAGGTGCATCTTCGAAATTTAAAACAGACTTTATTTGTTACAGATGGCTCGTTATCCTCACTTCCGCTAACGGAGACGAAATCAACCTAAAAGAAATAAAAATAAAAGAAATAAAAAACAACCCTGGAATACTACCCATTAAATTAGGTAATGCGCAAAACGCCATAAATTATTGAAGTTTTATAAAAATAATTGATCTTAGTTTAGTTATACGTAGTCATAATTGCTTTTATAGTGAAATGCTTAAAATAATGAATATATGGCAAACCCAAAAAACTTCAGATACTTATCAAATTGAAGTTCAAAATTTTCAAAATTTATTAAATTACCAATTAAGTGAAATTAACAAAAATCTTAATCAGTTAATTCCGTCACCACAATTAAGAAATAAAAGAGGTAGTATAAATGGGTTAGGAACTATTATTAAATCAGTTACAGGAAATTTAGACCAGGAAGACGCAAAGAAATAAGACAACATAATTTCAAAAATAATTAATACACAAAATACAATTAAAATCTTAACCGAAAATCAAATTCCCATCACTAAAAATGCAATAAATAAGTTTGAAAATTTTAGAAAATCAAAATAAACTAGAAAAAAGAATTAATAACATTTCCTTAAAAATCGAAGAAACTAATTTTGTGTTAAACGACTTTAAAAAAGCCTCCTTAATTCAAAACTTATACATTCAATTAATTAATGCTGCTGCTAACATAAAAAATATTTTGGATACTCTAACAAAATTAAATATTTATCACCCTTCAATTCTCGAAACTCAAGAACTTTTTAATGAATTGGTTACCGTTACAGAATTACCTCAAAACCCCCAGTTACCATATAAAGTCAACTCTGATACGATCAATATTTACGAAAGAATTGCTGTAGTAAAAAGTTACATAAAAAATAAAAAAAATATTTTATAATTGAAATTCCAATTGTTGAAAAACTTCCATACTCATATTTCCACCTTTATTCAATTCCGGTAAAAACAACCCATTCTTATAATATTATAATCCCACAAACTAAGTACCTTGCCCTTAATGAGAAAGTCTACACTTTATCTAACGAACGTTGTAAACAAGTGGCAACATGGAATTTTTATGTAATGCTCAGCAATCCCATAAGATATCACAGAATAGTCCGTGTGAAGTGCAACTGCTGCAATTTACAAATTCTTATAAAAAATGTGCCCAAAAACAAGTAGAAATACAAAACCCAAAATTTGAAAAATTAGAAGAAAATCGATGGCTTATAATTCTTCCAAATGAAACAGATATAACTTCGGAGTGTCCAACATCAAAAGAAAAAATATCTCTCATTGGAAATTTTGTAATGGAAATCCCAGAAACCTGTCAAGTCCACATCGAAGAAAAAATACTTAAAACCTACCAAAATCCAGTTAGAAATACCGAAATTATAAAAATATCAAATATTGAAATTTCTGTCCTGCAAAAACCAGTCAACAGTAGACAAAAACCTTTGAAACTTGAAACCGTTCAGCTAGATGAAATCCATCCGTTGATAATACAATTAGAAAATATCGAAGAAATGATCAGTGAAAATAATATTCCGAATTTTAATGAAAAACCCAACTTTTGGACAATTTTCCTGTACGCCATTATTGCTTTTGGTTTAGCAATTATAATATTTAAACACCGATCAAAATTAACCCCACAGAAAAAGACTTCAACCCCTGAAAAGGAACCAGAAGAAGAAATCCAACTTAGAAATTTTAGGAAACAGTAAAATTTCCACTTAAGGATGGAGGAGTTACATCCTGCGAAGTTGCTGACCTATTAATAATATAATCTTATCTGCTGACATGTGTTTTTCAAAGAACATAATTTTGCTTTGTTATATATTTATTCTAGATTTACTTAGCCTTGTGTAAACTAGTCTCGTAAGCTTGTTATTTGTAATTTTTAAATTAAATATAAAAATAATTTTTAAAAAAAAGTTATTTAACAAATCAAGTTATTTAATTCGCGATATATATCTCTTTTACAACTACTACACAGAGCAAGTGGTAAACGATTATCGTGAACATCGTAATCAAACAGATTTTTTACTTCTTTTTTAAGTTTACCTTTTATTTTAATCATTACTTTAGTTTTTCCGAAACACAGTAATCAAATCTTTAGTCGATTTTCATCATGAGTTTCTACGTGGTCTTTGGACATCTTCAATTCAATTAA